CAGAGTCTTTATCCTTTTCTTGCTTAATCCTTCTCAAATGATAAGAATTGACTGTCAGTGGGGAGGCCTCCATTCGTTTTATCTGCTGCTGTTGTTCTGACTTTCATTATGATCGACGAGTTAATTAACACCAACGCCTACATTCCCGAACCTTCTAAATGTACGAACAGTGAATAGAGAGAGGCCAGTCAACCTCGAAATCCTGAGATTTTTTCACCAGTGTTACCATATGCCCTCAGTTAATTGGAAACACATGTAGTTATTATTACAAGTAACAATAACGGAACATTCACCGCCTGGAAATGCTTATCGATGGAATCGGTTAATTAGCGAAAACTTATTGCCACTTCTGTTTATTGTCAGATAGCTCTGATCCGCTGATCGTCGACCAGCATGTGCTAAGTTGTTGTTCAAGCTTCATTTCAAGCTGAACCGCTTCACTCCTGGACGAGCAAGTCTGAAGATAGCTGTCTGGCTTCCATGAAACCAGTGCGTAGGATGCGGCCCCCGCATCTGAGCTCTGTTCAGAGAAGTAGTGGCGGTGTGGCCTGCTAGTGCTTTTGTGCTACAAGTTGAATCTCTCCCTACTAGTTTAGCAGCCTTGCTGGGATGGAAGGTTTGGCTGTCCTGGACGCATGCAGCTCCTGGATTTGATCAACGAGCCATCCGTGGGACGTCCGCAACTTAGCACTGCACCACATCGGCCCTCCTTGTAATTAAAAGCTGCGCAACTAATTGTGGAGGCCTCACACATATTTGAATCGCCACTACAATTCTGAGTGGAAGTTGCATGCGGGAACCCCCGAACGGTTGATCAATGTCTAAGGGCTTTACCCTTATTCTTCCCAGTCTTTTTAGGACTTTAATCACTGCTTATTCACTACTGAAATCCTCAGTCCAGTAAAAGAAGTTGTGGGGAATAACGCTTGGATTTCATGCTTTGATGTTATTTATTTTTGACGTGGTCTTATTCTTGGCGATTTCTTCAATCAATACGCGGTTTTCTCATATATTCTGAGCATCGAAGGCAAATCTTCGAATGCTCCGACAAAAACTGCAATTTGTCCCCATTAGCAGGACATATGAACATTTTCTGGTTCGCTGCCATCGTCAGGATTAGGAAATCGCGTCCTCCGAGTAGAAAGAGGGAAAGGTGAGGGAAGAAGGCGCTCCAGCACATTCTTCTCAGTTGTACTGCCTACTCCAAATATTTGGAGGGTAGTGATAAAAGGAGCTATCAGAAACAACCGCATTCAGGGCAGGCCAGTCATACATTGTGGTCACTGGAGGAATACGTGCTGCGTGAATGGTTGCCATACGGGCTGCCAATGTGCTCCCTCGCTCCCTGCCAACTACCTTACCCATAGGAATACATTTTAACTGGAAAATGAGTTAAAGGACAAGAATAGAAAAATGAAGTTCTCGGGCGTGGAGCAAGCCCGTCTGAGGGACTTCTGAGGGCATCCCCCACATTCGGCTTCCACTCAGAATCATAGTCACGAAGTAAGGGCGTATATTGCTTTTACAATGGCTTCGGGTGACCAGCTCATGTACAAGTCGGTGTATTTATCCTCCATGACAAGTCTGGTACCAATTAACCAATTTCGGAGGGATGGATGGCTAGGCTGGCCTAGGCGGATATTGATCCAGGATTCGAACTCGCGACTGTGCATGTGTGACAGTGCACCACTTGTCACTACACCACCTCCGCTTCAATGTAGATGAATAGGTTGAATAGGCTAAGGGAGGTAAAATTAAATTCTATGGATAATAAGCAAAAACGCTGGAATCTGGATCGATCCCATTTGGTAAGATGCGCCATGCATTCACCTAAATTCAGATTCGCAGTGGCGTTTTGAATGCATATATAAGTGGCCTTAACAATAATCTCTGATGTGCAGTCGGTGCGTTCTTTCTGTCAGACGGGTCTGGTACCAATTAACCAACTCGCAGGGGATGGGAGGATTTGTTGGCCTGGGTGTGTGCCAATACGGGCTTGGAACCTTGGACAATACAACGGTACTGCGCCATCTAGCATCGAACCAAGCAACCCAGCTCCAAATAGCCGTCAGCGAAGTCGAATGTAAAAGTTGTACTCGTTCCAAGATGTCGATATTCTGACGTACTCTTCGCTCTCAAGGGACATCGCCGGTTGCTCTTCTTAGGTTGCCTTTCACGCCCTTTTTCTTCAAAATTGCTTTCTTAAATGCTTCCTTGAGTTCATTTTCATGGAATTCGAATTAGCTTTCCTTTTGACTCTCGTCACTTTCGTTTCTTTGCATCTGCACTACTTCGCTTCATTATTCTCCACCGACGCCTAGTCTGGCTCTCCGGCAGACCCGAAAGAATGCTAGTTGGCGTCGAATCGAGTTCCGCCAGTGTATTCTCATCATAGACATTTCCTTGATAACAGATTAGACACTCAAGGCTTACCATCACAACTATCTCCAATAGGTTGGCTTACAGTAATCTATTAGGTATCTACAGCATTACACCTTCTTTTACTAGTCATCGTAGGAAAGTAGTAATATTCCGTAATCCTGTTATGAAAGCAATCTATTGGAAATCAGAGTTCGACTCCCGTCCGAGGCTGAAGTTTTGCCCGTAACTCGCCAATCTTGTGAAGACAATCCCTCCAAGGCAATCGGACGGCTTTATGAAGGCCTTTTGGTATAAAAGAGTAGATGTATTACGAGATCCGATCTATTTAGGCTAGAAGATCGTGATATACATATATTTCCATCTATATCATATACGATTATGGGCACACCTCCAGTATACGGCTTTTCAGCCCACTAATACTATCTTGCTTTTCCCGACTCAGCAACCCTTTTTATGACTCGAATGCCTTCCCACTACTATCAAACCGGCCTTTTCCCCCCAAATGGACGGCCTGTAAGCTCATGAGTCTACCTACCTACTTCAGTGATATAGATGTCTCCGAAGAACTTCAATTTGACCTTTGCTGGGAGGTTTCACTTCAGAATGGCCCTCATTTCTCTACCATTCTAGGCCATTCTTATTTTTCAATTATTTATTTTTATTCAATCTTTAGCGAGGTAGTGTAAGGGATAAAGAGTACGCTGCCCGTAAATAGCAAGTGCGGGTTCGAGTCCCGTCGAGACCTAAGTTTTGCTCCCAAATCGCCATCCTTGTGGAATTTTCGGATCGCGTACTGCTGCGCTATAACCACAGTCAACAAAACATCAAGTCAATTCTATTTAGACTGAGCATGGACCACAGATAGCAAAATGTACGCATCTTGGCCATAAGAGACGTTTCGGTACTGGATTAGGTTGAGAATTTCGAAGCCGAAGCTTTCTCTGAAGGTTGAAGGTTTCTCTGAAGATCGTCAGTGTATGCAGGACAGATCGCACCACATGATGTCCTTTTGAGGCGTTGAGTCATTTGAAAGCCAAAAACGATGTACATGACATTTATCGGTGGTTGCCATGACAAATTGTAAATATTTGGGTATTGACAAATCCATTGTCGACTCAAGGAAGGTCAGAACCATCAGTGCAACCTAGATTAGAGTGTTCGAAGTAGAAGTGAGCTACTTCCAAATCGATCCTCATTACTGCTTAGTAGAAATCTTTATTCACTGCATATGGTTTCTTCCTTCAAGTCTGTTACAGTTTATTTCACTCGTTTGCCATTCTTCATTGTGCCCACGAGAGGAGATGCTATGTTGGGTTCTGTATGTGAACTGATCCTATTACCGAGGTAACAGGTTCTATTCTTTTGCTTTGACTTTTCCGTAGCCCCGCTCTTAACGGCTCGAAAATCTTCCCTACTCTGGATTTTTTAATCCTATCCAACTGTCTATGTATGAGTTCAAATCACGTTTTCACGCTCACATTTACCTATTCCTGAAATAGCGGTAAAGGATGACGGAGGTGAACACTTGGTAGTGCAATTGGCGTACACGCACGGTACGAGGATTGAATCCCGGGGTTCGCCTAGGCCGACCCATCCTTCCATCTTGGTTAATTGTACGAGGCTCGTTTGAAAGGATGAAATCTCTGACTTTTACACCTGCAGGCCACCGCAACTCAATATGTAGGCCTCATACGCTCTCAAAACGTCAAAACTTCTGGATTGAAGCTGAATAAAGAGGTCAAGGGGTGTGAGAATAAAGAGGGGGGCTGAAGGGTTGGGGGAACCAAAACCCTATGGAATACCATCGAAGTTTTCATCTTTTCTGTCCAAGAAGTGATGAGGTCGTCACTAATTGCAAACACTTTCCGCTGCCTGCTCAGATCTTTCGATTTCCTTCCACCCTCAACTGAACTTAAGAAGGAGAAATTGAATGAGCTATTCGAAACGTACGTCATTTAGTCCAAAATCTCTTTTCTCACCATCTTAGCAAGTGCTGTTCGCAAAGACATCTTTCTCAAGACATATAATAATATTAGCCCAATTTATTCGGCTGAACACTCGGCTTCTTCGTCTTCATCAGAGTCTGCAAAGTCGAAAAACGATATGCGTCAATTTTTTTTTCTTCTAGACATAGGCAATACGAACCCTGTTAATGAGAAGCTAAAAGTTCTCATTTAAATTGATCCCTCCTGTTTAGGGAATGATTAAGCATTTTAGTAGAGTATCAGCCAAACCAAATGATGGGTCCCGTCATCGAGACGGGGCTTCTGGCTCTGAATTTAAATAGAGGCACAGTTTCTTGGACTTGCTCTTCCTCTTCCTTTGTTGCAAAAGGCTGGACGATTGTGGTGACGACGTTTTATGTTTTCGCACTTCTAAAAAGGGAAAAGGCTGTTCCTCATTTTTCATTCCATCTTCTCGTCATTTCTCTCCTTACAAGATTATTGCTCCTAATTTTCTTAATGTCTCTTGTTAGATATTAGCGTATGAGATCATTCTCGCGTCATCCCATCTCGCCTCATCTGAGACATGCTCGATTTACGCGACTCCGTTCACTGTGCTGATCACTTCATATCAATTCTATTCGCAGATGAAACATCCGTGACGACGTGCCCACGATGACGACCCCGGATTCTGACAACGGCGAGTCGTACGGGAGTGCTCCGTTATCGTTTCGTGCTCCGATGTCGAACTGTGCCAAGTCGATTATCGATAGGAAACTGCGAAAATTTGCTTCGGAAACATCGTTCGCAACGGAGACAGCCAGTGAAAGCAGCATCGAACGTGAAGTACCGGGGCGTACACGGGTATTCACCGTGAGGACGGTACCACGACGTATACTCGCTCATCGTGGTCGTAACGATTCTGATGGAAGTGGTGGTAGTGAAGCGACTGTGGCAAGTGGCTCGGCCACCCCACGACGCGCTTTGCGAAGACCAAAAAGCCAGAGCGAGCTGCACACAAGCTGCACGAGCGCCACGCTCCATTCGCTCGAAAGCGCCACGGCTGCGATCCCGAATGACGAGCGACGAGCCAGCCATGTCTACATGATCGACGATGACAGCGTGCACGAATTCGAAGATGACGACGGTAAGATTCTTCGCAATATATCCAAAGCTCTTCAAATGACTGGTTACTGTTGAATTTCAGAATGGGTAAGTATGCTTTTTTCCTTCAACATTCTAAGAACTCCCCGGAGACGCGAAGACTCGATCTTCGCAGATCTATGCCCGAATCGACTCTCTCTGCTTTTAAATATCGTAGTTTTTCGTGATTCTTGCGGAGTTATACCATCCTGGAGGACTTGGTGCAACTGCAATAAACACCGAGCGACTGACAAGCGAATCCCGTTGATCTTTCAGTGAATTTGTTTGAAAGTATGTAGGTACGGGAGGTATCTTCTGAAAACTTCGGAAAAGTTCGTATTTTTAGTGGAATGTTCTGGAATTTTCCGTGGAATCAGAGACGTGTCCTGCTCCCGCTTCTTTGCTAATTAAACCCCATATGGCCGCACTCGAACCTGCCCAAATTCGACCCGTACTTCTTCATGGGTTCAAATCTGCCTCTGGCCACTTCGTTGCTGAAGCCTCTCGGAACTCGTGTCAAGTATTCTACCCCAAAGCCCCTTCCAAGCGGTTCCATGCTTCCTTCGTTTCGAAACCCCGAGTCTGAGGACAACAAGGGGATGAATTGGGGTTAAGTATTCAGAGGGAGCGGTGATTCGAAATAGTTACTGGCCAACCCACTGGGTTGTCATGAAGCCTACGGGTATGTCGCGAGCATACAAAAGGGTTGACACTTCACAGTTCTCCTAGAATATTCCAGGGGTTTTTCTAGAATACTTCAGAAAACTCTTGGATGAATGAGAAATTTTTGCGGATACTTCCTGAACATCCCAATAGTTCCTGAAGTTATGAACAGCTGACATACTTTGACAAGGTTTTTGAGTACCCTGGCCAGTCCTCATGATTTAGAATTGCTGATATTATATCTATTTTCAAAAAAAGTGGCGGCTTGTAGCCGTACTTCTTGACTTAACGGTTGAAGCTATGTATGAAATCGGTTCATGAAACCCTCATTTCGTAGAAATTCAAATAGGCTTCAGTCGAAGGCAGAGATGAATTTGGGTTGGATGGCTTCTACAGGGAGCGGTGATTCCAAATAGTTACTACAACACGTTCAATCCTTCGCTGACTGTACCGTTTTTCTTCATTGCTGTTCAGTGGGATTACTTCCTTAAAATTAGACCGTGATAGGCTTATCACCAATTTTACAGCCTGCCACTCAGGCATTCGCTCCTGGGGTGAAGCCTAACTTGTATCAGATCTAGCAGTTGCAGTTGAACTTGACGGATGATTACAGCGTTTCCCAAATCCGACGGAATAAGTCTGAGAAGAAGAAGGGATAAGGGGACGGCCCTTGGTCTGGTCTGCTTGTGTGATTCCCTTAACGAGCTCAGATGTGCATATACAGCAGCTCCATTGTGGGCATTTCCTTGTCAGGTTGTTTTTCTAAGTAAGTTTGACGCCCCTCACGAACACCATTTGTCAAACGATTCTGTGCACCATTGGTTTCAACATTCCAATCCCGATAACAACATGGGTCTCGATCTGGTCAACCGACTGGTTACCACGAAATCATCTCTACGAAAAACAAGTAATTCATTTAATTTTTTGCTTTATGAGTTTAGAGTTATGATACACCACTTTCCAAAACCCCCAAAACGCAGAGGCGTTGCTATACAGCATCTGAACAGGCCAGTCTAAACAGCTATACTGCTAGCCACCTCATTGAATTGTAAATTTCCTTTTCTGTTACACTTTCTTTCATTCCATGGAGAGCTTTATGGCCTTCATTCTTCCCTCTCCTACTTCTAGAATCTCCAAAATGTCCATGTCTTCTACAGAAAGTGAAAGTTTTTGCAATATTTACTTAAAAGTTGCGTGGAAATTAAAGTGATCTTGTTCACAATAGTGTCTGATATAGTAATCTGTAATGACGGTACAAAATTACTTCTCATACTTTCAGTTCTTCCTATAGGACCCTCTATGAACGCTCTCTCCGTCTCTGCGGACTTGTGCTCGTCGTCACTCAAAGGACCACATACGTATTAGCCGACAGCGATTCCATTTGAAAAGACGTAGCACCCTCTGACCTGGATCTCTGGAAATGTACTGAAGTGCTACCTGAAGGCTAGAGCAGGGCTCTGTCACACCTGGCGGCGAGCTAGAAACGGAGTAACCAGGGTATAACTCAGAGCATTGGGACAGTGCTTCCTTAAACAGGGTTTCTTGCTACGTGAGATCATTTAAGCTGTGATTTGGCGTTCATCAGAACCACTGTGGTGAGAGTAATAGAAGGAGGGGTGCGCTTCATTGCGCGCGTCCGTCGAAACTAGGTCACGCCGCAGCCGTCGCACGCGGCAAATCAGTCCGCGATACTTGACGGATGTCGCAGTTGACAGTGGGGCATACGATTTACGCTTGGTCCACAGCAATCAGCTTAAATAGAAGATACAGAGAGGGCAAATGCAAATCCTTCGCTCTACCAATACTTGGTGGTATTGTAATGTCATCTTGAAACCACAGTATGGTGCGCCGCGCGCGAATTGGGCGGGGTGACCTACTCTCAACGGACGCGCGCAACGGACGTTCTCCATAGAAGGAGTAGTGACAGGTTAAGAGCGGTGATACTGACGCTGGCGATGGTATAGCAGTAAGTAGGACCCATCTAAAAAACCACCGCGAACTTTTTTCTGTAATTTACAAAAGCTGCAAAGTGAAATTGCTGGAATCGACAGAAGCTGGAGTAGTCCACTGTTTTGAATTCTTTGATAATGAAGCATCTAGATGGGATGAAACACACGAAGTCATCAATGGATTTAGTGCTGTCACAAGTTCTGTGTGCCTATACATTCGATTGATTTCCGATATAGAAAGCAAAGAGGAATGTGCGAGTAGAATGGAATTAGAGCTCTCAGACTCTTACATCACAGAGGGCGGAGTTTTCTGACGAAGGGCGGGACTTGAAGAATTAATTGGAGTCCGTTTTTTGGAAAAGGTTTTTTGCGAGGTTGAGCGTAAGAGCAAACCGACGTAGTACTTCTGAAGTTTCACACCGGAATCCCAACGACGCCATTGAAAGTCGGTGAATTTCCGTGAAGGATCATACATGAGGCTCAGAAGGGTACTTTGTATTATAGTTTCACGGGATTCGGACTTGAAGGATTTTTTTTCGAAGCGGGGGAAACGTTGTTTGTACGACCCTTGGTGGAACTCAGGCTCTTCTGCTTGAACAAGTCTGCAGCCATGACTTAGCCCTAGGACAACGTCTATTGAATAGATTCAAAATTCGGCTTGATTTTTTAATAATGGGATGTATGTAGATAAAAATTCATTTGGAAGAAAACTTTTTAAAAAATTTTCAGAAAGGACTCCCTTTTTTGCCTTTAGTTATGATTTGGGACCCCTTTCCTATTAGGGTTAGGACCACTGCCAAATGCTTTTTTCAAAGCTCAGGATGAAAAGCGTTTCTGACGCATCATCCATTCACCCTTGTGCAAAATTGAACTATTGGTCCGGAAAATATTTCTGGGACACCGCTCTCGTCGCTCTCGAGAGTAGCTCATAGAGATGAATCGATGAGTTCAAATATGACTGGAGCCCAGGTGAGGTCGGAACAGGGAAGGATGAGAGCGGATCGTTTGGTTCTTACTTACTGGCCAATGAGCAAGCGTAAACCGGTGATTTCGACATCGATACTTGTTTGGTGGCACTAACAAAAGCCTAGAATCATTGCCCCTTCTCAAGAATGGGTGAAAGAATGAAGGTCTCTCTGGGGGAAACATGTTCTTCGAAAAACCACTTTGGTCAAACTCTCGCCACAGAAGTTCCTGTTTCAGATTGGATAAAATCCCTCAATATTATAAATTTTAAGTGACAACTGTAATCCAGTTGTAGCCAATTTGCATCTCCCCGATAGGGGTCCTGTTTTAGAAGTCGTGGGTAAAACTGTAAATTTTTACGCTGTCCTGCGACCGTAGTGGTTATCATCCTTTAATGCGAAGGAAAAAATCTCTGAGCAACTTAGGTAATGGCGTCAGCGTCATTCAACGAACTCCCTTCAGGTTCACCTTTAAGCTCGAGATAAAAACCGTTCCTGAAATACCATTCTGAGCTCGTTGCTAGGTTGAGATGATGAGTGATGACATATGTACCCAGTAAATATCTTCACTGTCGTAGCGGTACTGACGGCAAAAAACCGCCTTATGAACAATGAGTGAAAGGCGTTTTCTTGATAAGGCAGTCCCAGTTATAGAAGTTTCCAGACGATTCTATCGACACCGCTTTTCTATAGTGCAAAGGGCGGATCTCATTTTTCATGACCTATAGTCGAAATTCTTTTCAGCTTCATCTTTATTGCTGTGTGCAGAGAAGTTCGGGCGTTTCTGAAACAGAGGTTTGATGGGCTGTGAAAAGACGAGACGGTCGAGTAGGGTTAAAATGATAGCATATCTGATTTTCCCAGTCGGAGCACTTACATTTGGTAAGTCTTGAGCTGTCCCGAAGGAAGATGTGGTTATGGCCCACAATGTGTTGGACACCCACAACTACATCGAAAGCTGTCATGCAAGAGTTTGTTGAATCATACTTGAAGTCACCGGATTGTGTGGGCGGATGTGGCTGCCTTTCTAGCGGCATATTCCTCATGGGAAAGAGAGATGCTAAGATACTTGAACTACTCCCCACTTACAAGATTTCCCCTTTGCTCCTACTTACAACGCTCAAAAGAAGTAGAAAATGATGAACCCAAATTTTCGTATCAGGAATAGCCACGACTAGTGGGCACGCGATGGAATTAAGCAGTATTTTGGAGGGCGGCCCAGGTTTCACCTCGTTTGGTTGAAGATTTTTGAAGATCTAGTCCCTCTTTTGCCGAAGCGTTAGCTTGCCAAACACGATTTGAACCAAGCACAGCTTAGAGACAGCAAATTGAGACAGCTCGGATAAGCTATGCTGTTCACGAGCACACCTCTGTACCATGCAGTACTCTGTTCCTAGAACAGCTGGTTTAAGACCTAAAAACTGACACCTCGTGAAACCTCAGATCAGCTGTTCTAAAGTCTTTTCTTTTCCCAAAGGGAGGACATGTCCACCCTTTGTAACTTTTCCATTGCTATGGAATCCTGATGTATTTGCAGGTTTCACTTTTATGTAACTGATAAGTGTAGGTACCGTAATGCTCTGCGAATGTAGAGGGTTTCCAAAACGCAAGTACAGAATTAGGGAAGCATTCCGGCAGGAAATCGAGAACAACGAAGCTGTGATTCCAGTTGGCTGACTCTCGGAGGAGCCAGTTGTCCCCCAAGCTTTCGACATCTCGCCAATTCGATAGAGAAAACGCGATTTCGGTCGCAATAGCTCCAAATGAATTCAATAGGTCCTTCTCGATGACAAGCTGTTGCTAGAGGGTAAACTTCGAGAATTCCCTCCTTCCTGTGTCTTGAAAGTTGATCAATGATTCCCTGGTCATCGAAATGTTCAAAAAAGAAGAGTGTTTGATTGACAGCAAAGAAAAGGTTTACACTGAACAATCAGAGGGAAATGTCATGATCGGAAAAAAATTTGGCCTGGAAAGAGCAGAAAAGTTCAATCGTAGGGTACCCAATGAATGGTTGATGATTACAGAACGGTCCTGTATTGATTTGTGAAGAAGGAATCCGTGCAGAGTAAGCGGTGAAGGACTGTTTTGAGTAGTGATTAAGTGTAGGTACTCTGAAAACTTTTGTGCTTGAGCTGCCGTTCATTTCCCCTCTTTCTTCTTTATCTTCCTTCTCCAACCGTTTTTTCCTTGAGTCGATTTATTTTGAAAGTCTGATAGACATGGACCCATATTTTCAAAGAGAACTGAGGTGCGGTGGTGCAGAAAAAAGCTATTTTCTGCAACACGTCATGACAATCCTGCTTGGTCCCCTCCCGAATGCTGCTTCAAGGGTGAGACTCCCTATCGACGGGCGTTCAGTTCCTGCTTTTCCACCTTCATTAATTAGGTCTTTTTTCTGATCTGTGAATGATTGTGAATGAGAGGCTCTATATAACTCATTTTTTTNTTTTTTTCAGAATTCTGACCATTACCTGCTTACTTTACTACGAAATCGTGAAATTTTCCCGAAATTCGAAGAAATTCGAGCAACTCAGTTCCCCGCACAATGTTGGGATGCCAGGCTCCGTGTGGTTTTTAGCTGACTGGTCTAATGACCTGCAATCAGTCCTTAGTTATAGTGTAATGGACCTGCCATTTCGGATCTGTACAACTTACAGACTACATAGAACCCAGGTTGAGACATCCCTTCTGAATAAAAACTACTAATCCACTCCTCATTTACTCCATCTTTTACCTATCAGTTGTTTCTGTGGCCATCAACACTCACACATTTCAAGTTCATGTCGTAACCAGGGACAATTACCCTCCGATGACTGCCACAGCATTCGCTCATGGCTTCGTTGGCGTGCCGGAAGTGGCCAGATTTCCGACACAGATTGTCAGTGTGCCGCTCAAATCTTCTCCAAGTTCTTGTCACTTCAAGCTGCTGGCTGTGCTGTTCAGGAAGTACACATGTAAGGCCTAAGGAAAGCCAAAAAATAGCAAACTTTGACAAACTTTCATTATAGTGAAGAGTGCGCGTAGTCGACTTCCAAGAACGACTTCCAAGAAGAGCAAGATTCCAGAGTGAGAGTGAAAAAAGCGGAAATCCGGTTATAGGCGCAGCCTTTTGTGTCCTTGCGTACTCTCTCGTTAATTTGCAATCCATAAAATGTCTGATGCGATGCGGTGTACTGTAGCACGACTCTACAGTAAGGTGACATTCGAAGAAATCGATTGATAACATATGTGTGCAAGGGCGGATTTAAAAAATCGTCTCGTCAGGATGTTCTTCACGCTGTCTATGCCGTAAGCTGTAAACTTAACACTTCGTTAACTGTTCATTCGGAGTTTATGAGCTATATTTTTTACTTCTTTCCCCTAGACTTTGATCCTTATCTATTTTTTGTTTTTCAAAAAAAATTTATTATCAAAAAAATGATAATGGTTGGAGTTTCTCTACCATACAGTGAGACTTTTGGTCTAATTATTTGCCTGTACCCAACGCAGCTTTTTGAGCTTCAGAAGGTCGCCACCAATCTTTGTGATATCTCTCTTATCAGCTCAAAAACAAAAATCAATTGTTAGAAGTGAGGGTTGAGCCTGAGGTTGAGTTTTACCAAACCACCAGGGCAAGGTGTGGTGGCAGTGTTTCGTCTGACGTCATTATACTAGAAAAAAACTGGTATGCACATATGTTGTTGCCGCAGGTTGATCTGTCATACAGCTCGATCAATTCTCCCACAAGTATTCGCTCAAATCTCCCTTGCCCTGATTGCTACTGGGATATAAGCTAGATAATGATCAAATGTAGAAAACTGTAGAATGACCGACTTGTTCGGAAGAGATATTGGGGTCAATATGTACCCATATGTAATTGAGGGAAACTTTTCAACCATTCAGGCCTGATTCTCTGTCTGCGTTTGGGCAGCCCTCCTCTTTCGACAGGAAACGTTTGTGAGGTAGAATCAAAACTGTACATTGAAAGGACCCGTCGTTATTGCAGAAAAGTGAGCCTCCACTGCACACCTACAGAACAGGTGTACTGTAGAGATTTGATCCTCGGGGAAGGTTTGATCCCTGCTCAGCGATTGGCCGTAACTTTGCGTTGGGCGTGCTGAAGAGCTGCGGCCGCCGATGGCGGCACCCGTCCGCGGGTGGGCGGGCTAAGCTCATAAAGCGCAACGAATTGGAAAAAGCTGAGAGTGCCGCACATGTTCGAGCCAGCGCATGTGACGCTCATCGTCAACGGCGAAAATTCGTCCGCTCAAGTAATGACGGCTACCTGTATGGACGAGATTGCTGCCACTATTGCCTGTACTTCTGTATCGTCTGGAGATGAAGCATCGGCCAACGGTTCCGGTGATCTCAGCAGTCGAACCTACATTCGAAAGGCTGACCCACGAAATCGAACGATGACCCGTCGTACCTCACATACGCTCCTTTTTGTACCCGAGCAACGACGGGTTAGCACTGTATCCGGTGGTTCAGTGGCCAGTTGTCCTTGTCCGGTTGAACTTGGCGAAGACGTCAATTTAGCTCCATTGCCACCACCACGTTTCACACTTAATCTTAGTCCTACGTCATCACGTCGGAAAAGCGTGCAGACTGGAGCTCCCGCTATAGGGTTTCGACCGTTAAGGACGTTCGAACGGCGAGCCAGTCAGCCGACACTTCAACTCGAGCTCTTAGCAAAAGTCGAAACTGAGCCACCAGAAGTGGACAAGTCGAAAATGCTCAGTAAGCGTGTAAGCTGGCTCTCGATGAAAAGCCTTCAAGAGGGAGAGAAGGCATCTCGAAGAACGAGCTCACCGTCAAAAGCTGGTGGTAGTGGAGGTGGTGGTGGCGATTCACGAACTGCCAGTCAGTACGGTAGCCAAACGCAGCTGTACGGTGAACATGACTTCGACAGCGACACGCCACCGTTGGACACTTTGAGTTGGAGTAATGCCGGTAGTACGTTCACATCCCTATTCATGTACACAAAAGATTCTTTGCTGGTAACCCCTGCTGATATCCTATTTGACTAATTTTTTCTGTTTCAGACGAATACGACAATGTGACGTTAATGTATGCGAAGCACGAGAAGATACCCATGAAAGACTTTGGCTCAGAAATTCGTGCCACAATGGATATCGATCATTTACTGAATAAAGCCGTCCTATTGCTGGATTTGCAGGAAACCAGCCTGGAGGAAATCTTCGCCAAGTGAGCATTTGTTACTTTGAGCTTTTTTCCTTTTTTTCTAGGGATATTTTTGCTTTTTTTGTCGTTTTGACCAACTTGATTCCCTCCAAAAGAGGGAACTCTCCTCCTATCCAGAAATTTCCTTGACTGACGCGAGATCTCGCCTCAGGTTACTGTGCCATTGCATTGTGCATATCATCATTTACTGCTTCCGCTTCTCGGCTTTTCTGATTGATTACTCACTTTTTCTCCAACATTTCCCTCACATACATTGTCAGACATTTCTCTAGGCAAATGCCAATCGACTTCCCCTGTTATTTCCTATGGATTCTGTTTTCTATAGTGAGTTTTTACCTAAGCTCCCGGATGGCTACTCCCAGTGCGAGGTAGAAATTTGGGGAAGAACAAGGAAGCGGAGCAGCGTGTTTACGGTCACACTCGATTACCCATCCCATTGAAGTCGGTGTTTTCAGTAAACGTCCGCGTCCGTTAGGCAGTTCGCGTCTCGATTTATGTGTGTCTCTGTCTATGTAAGCCTTCTCATACACGGACATGAGTGAGGGCCATGTGTAATTGCGAACGCTGACAAGGACGTCGCTGCGCCCATGACATGATAACTAGGGAAAAGCTGCTTTGCAACTCAGTTTCGTATCGATCAGTTGAGGTCATGAGGGGAAACTTGTCTGTTCTGCATATTTAAGGCTGCTTTCAGACTGGGCCACACAACTGCAGCCAGCTACGTTGTCCCTCTTGTAAAAAAAAACTTCCGCTGCCCTTGCTCCTAAAAAAGAGAACACTCAAGTTTCTTGGGCAGACTCAACTCTCACTCACGGCTTTCTGAAGAATCAGGTTCATTTACTCTGTCGTTTTAGCCACATCTTCACCTGCCTTCGCTGCCTACGCACCTGGTATACATGAAGGGAAATCCCTAGGCTCTACAAGCCGGTTGATGACTTGTAGGGCCCTGGGCTTTTTATAATCGTCAATGTGGCGTTCAGACTACGAAAAATTCATCTTAAATGGTTCCGGGTTCTTACCCTGAAGGGAAAAGGAACAACTTGCATCAAAAATTCGTCAGGGAAACCAATTCGCATGCAAGGTTTCCGGAACATTCTCGCATATGAGCAAATCTATTTATGCAAGTAGTTGCTTGTGCTGTAAGCCGATACTGAAGAGATGGGTGGTCATTATTTGAAAGATTTATAGCCAATAAAATTCCCACCAGAGAATGTTCAATGGAAGGAACTGATGTGATGACGTATGCTTTCTCCCATGAGCGCAGCAACTTCCAAGGTAACCTTTACCTTGAACAGTACCTAATAACAGTAGCCGTCCGACGACTTTTCTCACATCACCTGAGTGTGTGTACGTAGACGTGTTTGTTTGTTTGTTTGGGTAATTGTGTGTGTGTTCTTGTGGGTGTGTGTATGTGTGTGCATGGTGTATGTTTCATTATGACCAGCGATTTCAGTGACAATGAATTTCAATGCATCGCAAACTTTGTCATTGTTGGGCCTTAAATTATCAAAGGCAGCCCCTTCCCATGTATCGACTGAACCCTTTTTATTTCTGTTCTTTACCTGCTTCTTTCCGGGAATGAGTAGAAAAGTAAGTGTGAGAAGAAAGAGGTTCACAAGAATACTACGGTAGAGCTATTTTGAATTCTACTTTTCATTCTTTCCTTTGATAGGATTGAGATAATGCTGAAACGGGCTGTTGAGATAACCGCTGAACTTCGAGGTAATAGCAATTTCATCGAATCAATTTCACCAGCACATCGAAAACGCAAATTATCCACCATCGGAGGGATCTTTTTTCGAATTCTGTCGCTCTAAGAGTTGACTTCTAACAGTAAGACCCTCCCCCCCCCCTTTCCCTCTCCCATACAGGTAACCACATTCCTATCAAAGCTTAGCATAGTATCCGCTATATGCTCCGCGATGCTGTAATGGGAGGGTGAATGGAGCCAAATGAGGCTTTGACAAAGTCAAAAGTCAGAAGTAGATAGAGTGATTTGCACTCAATCCCTCCCCGTCCGTCGCTAACCAGCCAGACGTCGTTAGCCTACCAAGACAACGAGAGCGTCAGTAAACGCTCTAATCCTTGCCAAAGAAGCGGAGTAGAGTCAGCAGTGTTCATGCAAGATTTTTTCAAGCGCCCGATTTTTTTCGCCTTTCTTTGTCATGGAAAATAATGAGGTTCACCTGAATGTTGACCGCTGCTGCAACAAAATTGCACCTGTCATTAGGACTTTTTCCATTACTTACCGCGGTAGAAGGCAATAAAATCAGCTTTTAGCGGCATGAAGTAGTTTACTCAAAAAAAAATCCACAGTGTTCCGACCCGTCGTCGCTTATAGTTGTTGATGGCCGGATGGAGAGCATCGATCTCGCTAGGCTCTATTCTCCCCCTAACGGCTTCTCATAGTCAGTCACCCGGAGGGGGTGGGCCGTTAACAGATGGGCTGAAGCGGACGGCCTCGGGGGCCTCAGCAGAAGACGACGGGATGGCACGTAATTTCATTTGCTAATTTTCGTTTTCTTCTTCTTGTACGTGTGTGTGTGTGCCCGAGCTGCGGAGCCACGTAGAGAAAGAGAGGAAAGTCGAAAAAGAGCCGCTAGCGCATTGCAGCGATATCTGCTCGAGTCCGCTCATTCACTTCGGACATTCACCGACAACCGCACCGCAAGTAGTTATTACTTGCGGAACTGAGGAAGGAATATGCACACGTTTGACATCTCCTAGCAGAACCGAGAAAATGACAAATAGGTGACGGGAGAATCATAGAATCCATTGGGATGGACCATCACCTGCTTGCCTTAGTCTTATTGACAGACATGATGACTACTTTTTGAAGTCACAAAAACGTCACAAAGCAAGTGGCTAAGTCAACATTAGCCCGTACAACAGCTGAGGCTTTGCTTGATCCTAAAATCAGTCTTCAATACTTTTTTGGAAAGTCAAAAAGTTAGCGTGGTACGGGCGACGTGACCATGGCGCCGTCTAGAACTCGTCGTCCTGTGATTTATGGGAGAAATTACTGGTTCCCTCGCTGCTGTCTAAGTTAACTCTCAGGCTCCAGCCACGGGGGACTCACTTTTAATCGGTTGCGGACTCGGCATGCACCTCACTGCAGTAGCTATGAACTAGTCATCAAGAGAGCAGTCATGTTTAACATCTGGTAGACTCGCCATAATATTACTCTTAATCGTATCCTTTATTGCACCCCCTATCTCAGTTTAGACACCCCGGTAGTAGTGATGCCCATTTTTAACCATTACTCAGTGTTGGAGTTCTTTGAAAACTTGCGAGTGGTCCCTAGATTCGTGATGGGTCTGTTTAGCAGAGCCCCGGTCCATAATCCATACCTGTGGATCATTCTGAGCAGGATAAACAAGGTATCCCATCTCTATTTTGAATTGCAAAGCACTACCCTGCATTTGTTTCGCATAGTGACTTTCCCTAGAAAGGATTGTATAAGTAACTAGCTGAAAACACTGAGCCCTAGGCTGAGGAGGAACAGAAAGGAGGAAAGAGGGGAACCACTTTCAGACTTTGTTATGGGACTGTTGGATGTTGGTTCATTACTCATAGTCGCAACATACTTATTAAGTGTGACAGGTGAAATTGTCGTAAGCAGTTCCCACGAAAACATAAACGACTGAATTCCCACGATGACTTAGTTGAACCCTATATAGAATATCGTTTCTGGAATGAATAGCTGTTCCATTGCGGGGTGCAGGGTAGCTTACAATTCCCCTTTCTCAACAATATGACCCCTTGCCAGTAGTTCCTCAAGAACGGGTATCAATATCGAAAAACGAAATAGTTTCCAAATCGAATCAGCAGATGGAGTATTAGATAATCCCGAATCCGTTTTTCGTACCACCCTAAGCAGAATGGCTAAAAAGTCTTGGAGAACTAGATTCTAAGTTTGGGACGGGACCACTTGGCATGCGTCTTTTCTCAATTTCGAGTGTAAGGCATCGAACATTCTATTTTTGACCTGATTTATTCGAAGTTTTGAGTGGTTTAAACTAGTTGCAGGCTAGAAATTCAATCTATTCTCTCAAAACTTCCCCTCTAAACCCTTGTGAAGGCGACGCCTTTCTTCTGCCCTCATTCGTGGAGTCTCGTGGATGGAACAGCAGTTGTTGCAGCAAACTGAGCCAACTATCCACGATTTCCTTGCGGCGGAAGAGTTTGGCTGAAATTTGAGAAACAGAGTCCGAGTCTTTTTTGATTTTCAGAGGTTTTTGCTCCGTCTTATACCGATAATCCACTCCTCACAAGTTGAAGGGTGAATCCCCTTAAGGAGCCGTACTATCTGAACTCCCTACGCAAATCAGTTCGAAGTGCTGTGAAACATTAGGGAAAAACGGGAAGCACTGGAAATTTTTTCGCAAGTGCTGCGTTGAGCTTTCTCGGAAAACGCACGGGAGCAATTTCACTGCCTGAATGTTAAGTAGGTTCAAAGCCGATGCTTACCTCAACTCTGCATTTACCTTGAAGAGGGACTGAGTATTATGCACGTTAGCAGAGAAAAGGCTAGAAAATGGGTAAGCTAGTGTTAAAACAACCCAAACATTGAGAAATGGGGAAAATGTGTTGAAATGGATACCACTTCTCCGGTGGTATTCAGCCTCAAATATGAGGTTGTGACCAAGGTGGTGCTCAAGCTGGCCGCATACTAATGTGATGACGAGGCTGTCAGAGCCATCGGCTTTCAGTTATGAACTCCTACCTCAATTTGTCCTTTTTCATTTGAAGTTGTATCGATTGTTAGCCGAAACCTAGAAACATGCTACCCTTCAGAGCTTAGGGCAAAAGTGTGGCTAACCGCCTTTGAACAGGCTCTTAGGCCTCTAACCCTTTCATTTCTATGAAGTATGTAGATCTTCACTATCTCGATTCAAATAGAATCAATTTTGAATTATTTTCCTGTCCGCACTGCCTGCAGTCTTGTAATTGTTTCCGTAGACTATCGAAGATTTTCCCAAAAAAAAATCTCCAGCTGCTGTTTTG